TATAGTATTTTCATCCTGCTATCTGATTATATTTTCACCATACTCTGTGAGGTAGTTAGTGAAGGTATTGTTCCCATTATAATATAGCTGAAGAACTTAGGCTTGAGAGACTAAGTGGCTTGCTCCAAAGTCACCCAGCTAAGAAAGTGTGGAGCCAAGTGTCCAGGTTTCTTGACTCCAAATCCAGTGCTCTTCCCCCTAAATTGTCTACTAGAGGCCTGGTTCACGAAATTCGTGCACTTGGGGAGGGTCCCTCAGCCTGGCCTGCACCCTCTTGCAGTCCAGGAGTCCCTGGGGGATGTCTGACTGATGGCTTAGGTCTGCTCCCTGACGAGTGGGCCTAAGCCAGCAGTCGGACATCCCTCTCAGAGTCTGGGACCCCTCACTCCTTACTGCCCGCCTGCTCGCTGCTCCTGACCCTGGCTTCTGGCTGAGCGGTGCTACCCCTGTGAGAGCGCACTAACCACCAGGGGGCAGCTCCTGCATTGAGCATCTGCCCCGTGGTGGTCAGTGCGCATCATAGTGACTGGTCATTCCGCTGTTCGGTCTATTTGCATATTAGCATTTTATTATATAGGATAATTGGCAGGCAAATAAATGATCATATACACCTGCTAAGTGTCAGTGATGGGATTAGGAGTCAGTCTCTAAATCTGTTAATAAGGTGCCCTTCCACCAGACCAACTAGCAAAGCCTACGTGCTCAGAATGACTACCATGGAAGATACCAGAGAAATGTCTGGTCTTCTTCACCCTCCTCCAAGTCAATGATGCACCAAAAACTGGGATAATCTCAGGTGCATGTACAGTCTTCCTAGCACAGTACCCAGAGGCAGGTTCAAAATTTAAACCTTGGAACTCCGCCTCCGTCCATCTACTGAATGTTCAATCATTGATGTTATGGGCAGATGGGAAGGAGGAAAGCTGAGCAGAGTTTACTTCTGCTATTATGCAAATTAAGACCTTTCATTTCCATCTTCCTTCTCCACCTCACTCAGCCTCTCCACTTTACTAAACTCCTGAACCACAAACAAAACCCAATCGATTCCAGAGTTGGTAGCAGGAAAACAATGAATCCATCCTGGGTTCTAGGTACTTTCCTCCCTTCGGTTTGTTGGGGGAGGGGGTCATGTGATTTTCATCCAGAATGCGCTGCCTGATGCTTCCATTCATTCTCACACCTTTTCTTTGCATGTGTCTCAGTCCTTTAGCTTTGAGGATGGCACGGTATGTGGTGGGGAGATGTGAAGTGAGGAGCAAAAGGAAAAACTGCCACTGGAAGGCAGAGCTAAAACATTTCATCTTAGTTCTCTGCTCATTAAAATGAAAGTAGCAAGAGATCAACCCATAGACACAGACAAAAGGGTGGTGAAGGCCTCAGGGGGGCAGGCTAGAAGAGGTCGATGAGGGGAAAAGGGGACTTTTGTAATACTTTCAACAATAAAGATTTTTTAAAAATGAAAGTAGCTATTACTGCATTAGTGTCTGAGAGGAAGGAAGCTTCAGGATCGTGACTTAAAACCCGATTCCAGAAACAGCTCCACTGAGTACAGGTAACAGCCCACAGAACCCAGAATTCACAACTTACCACCCCTCCCCATTTGTGCTGATGCCATAAATACTTGTACTAAAGATAGTATCCACGTTGTAAAAAGGCACTCTACCCTCAAAACCCAAGAAACAAGTATCAAATTGTACCAATCCAGAGTTTTTGTGCTTCCTGTCTCCCTCACAGTGCCCAGGAGAGGGCTAAGCACCTCATCTCCACGAAAAAGGAAATATCTGCAAACTCTTCTGTGAATGTAAAGCATGCTGATGCTTACCAGTGTTTTCAAGTTTGAGCGTCTGACCCATCTCATGGCAGTTATTCAGAGCACACGGGTCTCCCTAATGCTGGTGCCCTACCAGGGGCCACGCTTCTGCCTGGATGAGAAGCTGCTGCTGCTGTGATTGGTGTCCCAGGCTTCCTGTAGGGAAATGGTTTTGAGGAGTACAGGCATTTGGGATTTCTGAATTTTGAAGTGGAGATGGGCTTTTATTGTACAATAATCTGTGTGCTCCCAGATGGGTGAGCTGCACGTGCCCCTCCAGGTTAGTAATTCTCTATCTAAGCTAGGCCTGCAGCAACCCTGAGAGGGATACGGGAAGAGGGCCTGGGAGACAGCATCTCCCGTCCATCAGTTGTCCAGCTTTAGCCAAATAGCTCTGTACAGTAATTAGTGATCTTTATGTACAAAATACTGATATAGAGTATACCCTACACAGACGGAAGGAAAGGGCTGCATCATGTTGATGAAGATGAAAAGGCTTCTACTTATACACTTTAGGCATACGGAGAGATTTGGTGCTGAAACAATGAAATGATTGCGAAGTTTCTAATCTTTATTCCCTAAGGTTGTTGTCCATGCACACTATGAAATTTGGGGGTTGATGACCTAAAATGCAAACTCCAGGGCGTGATTTCACATTAACCTGGGCCTGCAGCAACTCTAAAAAGGACAAGAGACAAGGAGCTGGGAGAGAGCATCTCCCTTCAATCGGTTGTCCAGATGTAGCCAAACACCTAGTTATTTAGATATTTGGCGACACACACACACACACACACACACACACACACACACTCACACACTCATTTACATTAGGCCCTAACAAGATAAAAGGAAAAGATTGACTCATGCCCATGACGATGAAACAGCATCCTTTACACACTTCTGTACGGTGGGGAGATGTAGTGCTGGACTAGTGATGTGATCTCCAGACTTACAGAAATTGTCTTCTAAAAGTCACCTTTTACGAGTCACGCTGTGATATGAGCCTGCAGGCCCTGGTGAGTGATTCTGCACTTACTGTGGGCCTATACACATCTAAAAGAGGGAAGGAGGTGGTCTGGGGAGAGATGATCTCCCTCAATCAGTTGTCCAGATGTTGCCAAATATCTCAGCATCATATTTGGCAAATGCATACATATAAAAATATTTTATATACATTATGCACCACCATGATGAATGGTAAGGAATTAATCATGCTCATAATAATGAAAAAACTACTTGCACACTTTGGGAAGATGGAGAGATGAAGTCCTAGGCTAATTAAATGATTTATAGGCTCTCCAAAATGTAAGTTTATCTTCTAATAGTTATCTTTAATATGTGAATACTCATGAAAATGTCACCTTTCAAGCTACTTTTAAAACCTAGGCAATATTAAGATAAAATGATTAGTTATAAATATTTGATTTCATAGATTCTATTACATGTGAGCCAACTATTTTACAAGCTAAAACAGTGCTAAATTTTGATAATACCCCATTATCTTGCTTTAATGCTATCAACAACTGCAGCACTGTCACTATTAAATTCTGATTTTTTTTCTTGCTTTCTGCCAGGGTTTGTCAGAAACTGCTTTAGCCCCCAGTCGACAGCACCTTGGTGCTGCAGAAAACACGGTAGAATTCAAGATTTCTTAGGGGTGAAGCTAAGAATAAGAGTAAATGAGAAAAGAAAGGAAAAAGTCCTATTTGCAGGGTCATGCCAGGGACTTAGCACTTAAATATATCCGCAATGAATCTAAAGTGCCAGGAGAAAAAAACAGAAGAGAATTGTTCTCCCCTTTGGCAACATGGTAACCAAAACATATGTATACCAAAAAAAAAAAAAAAAAAAAAGGAGTTGTATACATTGCTGATGCATGTTTATAAACCAGCAACTGGGGGGCATGGGGTAGGAGGAAGCCCTGATTTGTAAAATTTGCTACTTTCCTTGGTATAAATACTCCCACCACCATGGCCAATTTCAAACTTCCAGCAAGAGGTCCTGAACTTCTGAGTTCAGAAGAGATGTAAGTAGTACAGCATTATAGCATGTCTGCCATACAACAACAACAAATGCAAACAGTCGTAAGAGCACAGGAAATAGTAAATGTACTTTTGAGTATTACTTTTGTTCTTAATACAGCTTACTTAATTGTAAGTGCATGACATTTAATTTTTAATGATGGCCATGTTTAACAACCAGTTTGCAAAATTCTTGAAAATTTAATAATCAGTAAGCCTGTATGAGCTGGCTCCAACATTCCACACCTAAGTAAGTAAGGGGAAAGGAAAAATCAGACTGAAAACCATTAAATACTATTTACTGTGCTTTTTTTTTTTTGTATAGATATGGAGACGTAGTGGAAAACTAAAGAATTTTTAGGGTTCTAAAAATGTCAACATGTTCTGCTCATTAGTCCCCCCAAAATGTAAAGTATTCTCAAGAATATGAGATGTTTCAAAGAATTTCAGGGCTACAGAGGTGAGAACTTAAAATACAGGTAAATGTCCAATTTTATAAAGGCTATCTATCTGAAACGGTTTCCATGTGCTCTACATATAGCAAGAATGATATGTGAATTAATTTATCATTTTTTAAAACCTGTTTTACTGCTATCAAGCAACGCAGGAACACTCAATTACTAAACAAATCCTGGGCTGGGCCCACCTTCTGCCAGAGTCAGCAACCCCTTTAGCTCCAACTGTTACCAGCACTAGGAATGACGCCTTTACAAGACTCAGCATTACAGAGAAAAGAAAAAGGAGAAGAGTTGGTAGGAAAGGGAGAAGGGAATAAGGAAGGGAGACATAAAAGCTAGTGTTAAGAGTGCCACCAATTACAGCCGTGGGCACTGACAGTTATCAGAGACATGTACACTTGGACCAAAGGCTGTAGTCACTTGTTTCCTTATTTCAGCATCTGACCACTGCAAAGATTAATGCATACTATCATTGCCGCGGTACTTTCACAGCCTTCGTTCTTGAGGTGACAAACATCTGGATAAGTGATCCTTCACACGTTTTCCTGATGTTTGCAAGTATCTGGATGGATCATGCCATGTAGATTAAAATCGGTATAATTAACTTGAATGTTCACCTTTTATCCTGCAATCTGTTACACTAAAGAAAAAGCAATAAATCCTTCTAAAATTTGCCAAAATAATGCGGTCATGTGTATCAGACAGCCTTGATTAATGTACAATTACTATTGTTTTATTTGGGCGTGTACTGTTTCAAAAGCCTCCCTCTTACTAAAACTTAAAAATATCCCATCCTATCTGGAGAACTTTAAAACAGCTTTGTAAAAAGTTATCCATCAGGGTCATGTTAAAGATTGCATTTATGTTGAATAATTAGTAAAGGTAGGTGTGCCAATTCATTTTGCTACCCGTTGAGTCTGGCTTGAAGCTATATTTGTGGGTTAATAAACATTTTATACTTCTTTACTGAGGCTATGTTAAAGTATCATAATGCTGTCTTGTTTTTATGAAGATGATCCCATTGATTTTTGATCAGTGGGGCATGTGCATTCAGTGATATTTCTGGAACTAAGAATTTGTGCTAAATTGGGTCGCATTTCTCACCCAGTGAAAGATTGGCAATACTAACTTCTTATATGGTCAGCAGAACACTTCTGCTGTATTTAGCCTAACTCAAAGCTATGCATGTAAACAGAGATAGGCCTCTATCATAATCAGTTACAAACACACTTACATACTAAACGCCTTTCAGTGGTTATAAAAAGTTCATGTAAGCGAGACAACCCAATATGAAAGTGGTTAAATCCTTTTCGATTGTTGTCACCCACTAAGACCTGCCTATGTCCACTGGTGCAAGTTGCCAGAGGTGCCCACGAGCAAATAAAACAATCGTATGTATTTTAAAATCCCAGATAAATAAGTAGTGCTAAAAAAGAATAAAAATTAAATATTAGTTTTGTGGTTAACGGAAATGAACAACCTTTGATAAAATAGTCCCGGTGGGGGAGAAGAAGCGCTTTTGTTCATTTTTAAATGGCCGCCGTGGTGAAACTTCGCTTCTTGTAGAAATTTACTTTCGGTCTCCTTCAACTCGCTTTTTACGAACTAGGTAAGAAAGAAAGAAAGGTTAAAGTGACAAAGTGAAGGGATACTCCTTAAATTTCAGATAAACAACATTAATCACACAGAACAGCAATCTCACACACTTGAGGATACAGTTATCTTAAATTTCAATATTCAATTACCTCCTGGATTATTCTCTCATTCTTAGTTAAGATTGAGAGAATAAACCCAGTCTCATGTTGGATTTACATTTAAATAAAGCTACGTCTGATAGGAGAGAATTTGAATGTTAGGACTTTCCCAGTCCTATGGAGTAGAATAGATCCACAATGTAGTGAACTTCCAAATAGTTTCTTGGTCACTTATCCACAGCCCTTCTCAGCTTCTGTGCAACTCAATCACCTATTAGCTTTAATGCCCCAGGATGACACATTCACAACCTATTAATTCTGATTATGGCTTGCAGACCAGGAGGATCTGCAATCGAAAGTTCAAAGTTTCTAAACCTGTTTTAAATCAAATCTCCTACATATCAACCTCTAAGGAAGGTGTGATTCAGATGGCAACCAAATTTAGAGATTAAGGTTCCCTTAAACTGGTTCTTAGTATCCAAGAAGTTGCCTGGCTGCCCATTCCCAGTTTCTGCCACCGTCTTCTTCCCCCTTTCACGTCTCCGCCTGCAGGCTCCTCTAGTGGGTAGCCGGTGGGCTACTCTCACCTTCCTGGATTTGGCAAAAATGGTGCCCTGACTGTGGCCCTGCTCCAACTCTCCACTTTAAATAGCCCAGCCTACTACTGCCTCGGCTGCAAAAATGCAAAGGTCTAGCCCACAATTACTGCTCCTGGGCTCAGGATGGCCCCTCCATTTACTTCAAACCTCTCGTTGTGCCTGTTCTTCTTTGGTCTCCATGTTGTTCGGCTGTGGACCCCCTCCGCTTTTCCTATGCATCTTCCTACTGTTGCCTCCACCCTTCCCCATAGCCCTGTTTGCTGGGATGCTTCCTTAGCCTCACCCTCTGCAGCCCAAAGGCAAGCACTGCCATCTGCCCGGCCAGCCCCCAGATGCCACACATTGCACTCTGGCTGGGCCTCAGGGGCTTGGCTCAGCATGTGCGGGCAGAGGACTGGGCACTAATTTCACCTGCTCCCTTCTGGTTCTAAGCCTTCAGCTTCTATCTTGTCTACTATCTGAATCCCCCCTGTGGCCAGCACCATACTTTGCAGAACACTGTGCCCAGTTCCCCTGTCCAAGGTCTGGTATTCTGACCCTGAACCTCAAACTGGGGACTGAGGCCTGCTATTGGCTAACTGCTTGCCAAGTGGACTGTCTACACCTGGATGCCCTTTTGCGATGCTGCTTCAAGTGGCGGGGATGTCCCCAGACCACGCCTTCCCAGCCTGTCCCATTCTTCTGTGCTGTGGTTGACCAGGACCTGCCCCACCTCATGTGAACAGAAGAAATGTGAACAGATCCTCAGCAGAGCGGGCAGCAGGAAACATTCACGAGAGGCTAACTGAAAAAGCTACTCTGGGTTTCCCTTCATAGTATAGTCCCACTGGTTCATTTCACATGTAAATTACCAAAGTATCAGGCATAAGCATGTTTAAACCCAACTACAGAAGCACAGTCAGGCACAAACAAAGTGAATTGGGAATGTCCATGCCATTGTGTCCATCCATCTTCTGGTGCAGCTAACAGCAGAGGGTGATTACATGCAATAAGTAAGGAAAGGAGAAGCAAATACATAAAGGAAACCAAGCAAAAATCACAGGTTTTCTGGAAAAAAGAACAAACAGTTCTTGAGAGAACGCTACAATAAAGCTTAAACTGTGAAGATGATGAAGAGTCCCATGACCATGTAATAGTTAGCCTTTGATGAAGGGCTGGCACCAAAGGCCAGTGGGATGGTGAGATGTTAGAGCTGAAGTGGAGAAATGAATGGTCATCATGCTTTTCTAGTTGCTAACAGCACCACAGTATGGCCACATTACCCAGGTCATTATTCTTCGTGATGGCAGCTGCCACCCTCGTTCGTGGCCCTTGCTTGGTAAACTGATATCCAAATTTGAGGATCCTTGAATTCTCCTCGAGCATCTGGGCAATTTCCATCTCTACGGCTGTTCCCAACTGCTGTCTCTGGTTGCAGGTGCAGGTACATACATAGGATGACCAAGAAGAATGAGGAAACAGTTACTTGTGTGGAAAAGATACGTGGCTACTTGGACAAAACCAAACAAAACAAAGAGCCAAAAGTCTCCAAATGAATGGAAAAAAGTCACTTGAGATATTTTCTTCCATGCAGTCATTTGCTCCTTGTCTAGAAGCAAAACCCAACAGATAGATAGCCAAATCAGCTGGCACGCTAACCTGAGAGGACTAAGCCAATTATTTATGAAGGAAAAGATGATTCCAGATGTAAAATGAAAGCAAAACCAGTATTTGTTGTTTCCAATCTACCCCAGTGTTTATGGTTTAAACAAAGGGTGTTTTTTTTTTGGTTTGTTTTTTAATACGGAAACTGTCTTATAGCAATCAATCCAATTACTGAATTTTTCTATTCTGGGATCCATATCCAAAAATAATGAAAGATTATCAATTAATGGGCCGTTCTCTCTTAGCAGAGTCTCACTATCCCAAGAGGTTTTACCATAGTCAAGTGAGTTATCACACACTGAAGGGATTACTGGGCTACAGAAAAGTAAATAAGTTTTTTTATGTTTGTGGAAAAATGTATTTTGCTTGTCTTTTAAGTTGAGACATAGAGTAATAAAAACAGTAAAAGTAGATTTTTAAAAATGACAGCATGTAAAAATAAAAATTTAAAATTAAATTTACGGGACACAGTATATTTTTTCATAATATATTCATTAAATATTTTTAAGTAAAAAGGACAGGCTTGTTTAGAAAAAGCAAACAATAAAGTGTATAAAATATAAAAGCTCCCTTCCCTTAATATTCCCACTCCACACAGAGAAAGCCAGTTTGGTATACAGTCTGTAGTCTTAAACATTTTCTATGCATTCACATGTGTATGTAATCTTATGTACACCTATACTTTTTTCACAGACATGGATTCTAGTAGCATACTGTTCTTCTGAAAGATGTTTTTCTTTTTCTTTTAAGATTAATAACACCTTTTCATGTAGGTAAATACATGTTTACCTCTTCGGAGAGCTGCCCAGCATTCCACTGTAGTAATGCATCATGTCTGCAGCTAGGTCTTAATGACTGTTTTACATCGCTTTCCATTTCTACTATTGCAAACCTTGCTGCAGGGACCTTCCTGTACACACACAGTATATCCTGGGGCATTTTTGCAAGTGTGCCTGGGAGGCAAATTTCAGCAGGATCCAGGTATAAGCATGTTTTAATTTTTGACATATTACTGACTTATCCTCAAAGGCTATGACGATTTTTACACTCGCTAACAGTGTTTGAGCTACTATTTTCCTTACCCTGACCAGCATGGAATATTACTAATCTTTTCATCCCTATCAATCCAATAAGTGAAACATATTTTATTTGTATATATTTAATTGCTTTAATTTGCTTTTCTCAAATTATGAATAAGAACAATTAATTTTCTCATGCATTTGTATGTCTTTTTTTTTAAACTACCAATCTCTGTAATTTGCCCATTTTTCCTGGGCTTTTAAAAAAAATTGGCTTGTAAATTTCTTATATATTAGGAAATTAGCCCTTTGTCAAATTTGCTGAAAATACTTTGTTCAGTTTTTTTCTTTTTTTGATTACTTAAAGACATTTTCTCCCTTTCATATGGTTAAATTTATTACTCTAGATTTTATGTCATTTTAGAAAGTCTCCACTCCTGATGCTTTTCCACTTGTTTTATGATTTTGCATATTGTAATATTTAAATCTTATTTAATCTGAAATAAATTTTAATATAAGAATTAAAATACACCCTAGCCAGTTTTGCTCAGTGGATAGAGTGTCAGCCTGCAGACTGAAGGGTCCCGGGTTCAATTCCAGTCAAAGGCACATGCCTGGGTTGCAGGCTTGATCCCCAGTAGGGGGAGTGCAGGAAGCAGCCAATCAATGATTCTCTCTCATCATTGATGTTTCTATCTCTCTGTCTCTCTCCCTTCCTCTCTGAAATCAATAAAAGTATGTTTTAAAAAAGAATTAAAATGGAACACCAACTTTATTTTATTCCAAAATGCTAGCAAATTGTCCCACCATCTTTTACTTCATTTTTCTTCCATGATTTGAAATACCACTTTGCTGCAAAATTCTCAAGTATACTAGTACTTGAGTGTTTCTGGACTCTATTACCCTGCCAGTCTATTTCTGTGCCAGTATTATGCAACTGGATTGCTTTAGTGTGTAAATATATATATATATATATATATATACCTTTTAAATTTGGAAATCTTAAGTATGGGGTAGATGAAGGATAAAAGTTTATGGAGAAATAACAAACAAAAAGTTTATGGAGAAAGTTTTGTGTCATTTGCTCTTTATCTTTCTTTTCATCTAGCAACCTGTCAAATGAGTCTCTTGCCAAGATATTAACAAAATGTGGTACTGCCAGTAAGACAACAGTTTTGGGAATCCACAGGGTGGAGTCAGCATTCTAGGCAATGCGGATCTATGGGAGGGAGGAGCAGCAATAAAGTAAGAGATACTGACCTCACAGTATCATGAGCAACTTTAGCTCATGACACACTTTCGAACAATGGGACTGTATTAAGGACTGAGATCCAACCTCAGGGCGGGGCTGCCACAGTTATGGCTTATGCCCCTGGAATGGGCCAAGTGGTGCTGTCCAAGGGCAGCAGGAGCTCGTGGTGGATGTGGCTGACTGAGAGGGATAATATAAAAGCCCCTTTATTTCCCCTTACAACTCTCAAGCATTTGGGGTCTAGCACTTGGATAACTTGGAGGTTGGCGTGTTGATATAAAGGATGTAGGAGCTGAAAATTATATTGGGGGCATATAAAAGAGGGGGAGAAAGTAATATAACAGGGCATCTTTCTTTCTCAGCCTGAGTTTTTTTTTAATTTTTATTTGAGGTCTTCTGTGTTATATAAACCCAGGACACCAAATGAACACCAGAATTTCTTATAATTTGGATAGTATGTTTCTCTTTATTAAGTCACTAAATACAAAGAAAAAAAAGAAACAAAAGTTCAAGCATACATTCCTTCAGATCACCTTTTGTTTTTCTTTATTTTTATTGTCTTTTTAAAAATTGATTCTTAGAGAGAGAGAAGACAAGAGAGGGAGAGAGAGAAACATCAATTGGTTGCCTCCTGCATGTACCCCCACATCCCAAATGCACCCTCACTGGGGATTGAACCTGCAACCTGGGCGTGTGCCCTGACCAGGAATCGAATCAGTGACCTTTTGGTGCAGGGGATGATGCTCAACCAACTGAGTCACACTGGCCAGGGCACCATCTGTTTTTCTTTAAGTAACCTCTTTTCACTACTCCAATTTATTTATTCATGAATATGCATTACCGATTGTTCTCACAGGGTACTGATTAAGTCATTACATATTTACCTGGAACCCACACAGTGGGGGGTTCTCAGCAGGCCTCCATTCTGGTGCAGTTTCCTGCTGCAATGATATTAATTGGGTCTCAGCTGCTGGCCCTGCCTGAGGAAACTGTCTTAGAGATTAGTTTATTTCCCTTCCTTAGACAGAGGAGGAAACTGAGATTTACTTCTAATAGTCTATGAGTCAGTGAACAAACTGTGGATGGAAATCAAGGTTTGTTTATGTATTTCCTCATTCTTAAAATAAAGCAAAACATTTTTCCAGTTGTTCTAGAACTTAATCCTCTTCTTTGTCACGAGTAAAGAGAAGTCATTTTAGAGGCATACTGGGGGGCTAAAGTTGAAAAAGTACACAAAACCATGCCCAGATGACTGAAGAGGGGTGGTGAGGATGATACTTTAGGTGGGATTTTTTAATTTATTTGTTTGTTTCATTTTTGTTAATCTTCATCTGATGATATTTTTTTCCATTAATTTGTAGGGGGAGTGAGGAAAAGAGAGAAAGGGGGAGAGAAAGAGGGATGGGGAAAGAGAAAGACAGAGAGCGAAAGAGAAACATTAATGTGAGAGAGACACATTGATTGGTTGCCTCTGACTGGGGCGGGGATCGAACCCAACAACCCAGGTACCTGCCCTTGACCAGGAATCAAACACGAGAACTTTTGGTATTTGGGCTGACATTCTAACTTCTGAGCCACACCAGCCAGGGCTTATTAAAAATGTTTGTATTGATTTTAGAGAGAGAAAGAGGAAGGGAGGGAGGGAGGAAGGGAGGAAGGGAGGGAGGGAGAGAAAGAGAGAGAGACATTGATTGGCTGCCTCCTGCACGCTCACTACTGGGGATCTAGAGGGGATTTAAGAGAGACTGTATTTTAGGTTCTTTTTCACATGCATTAGAAAAAGCTTCTCTATTCTAACTTTTCAGGATTTCAGCTCACTCACTACATATAAGGTTGCCAGATTTAGCAAATAAAAATACAGAACTCTCAGTTAAATTTGAATTTTAATAAATAACAAATAAATGATTTAGTATAAGTATGTCCCATGATATATTTGGGATACAGTTATACTAAACATTAATTGTTGCTTATGTGAAATTCAAGTTAACTGTATCTTATCTGGCAACCCTAATTAGATGGTATTTTACTAGGACTAGAGTATTTAGAACATTATTTCAGATATGGGGTTCCACTATGGCCTAAAGTAAACCAACACAAGAAGATAAATATACTTGGAATAAAGTGTCCACTTCTGTCTTAGATCTCCTGGGAATAGTTACTAAGGGAGCTCATCTTCTTCCTGATACTATTCTAGCTGATAAATATCCCTGAGCTATCAGTTCTTTTCCTTCTGGCATTTTTCTCACTTGTTTTCCTGCTCTCCTGCTTCCTGATGACCCTTAACTTACTAGCAACTGGACACTCACCAACATACACAGCAACAGCTTCCCCTGAATGTGTCTGGTCTTCCCTCTGGGCGTCCCTTCACAGCTCTGCATTTGGAAAGCTGTTTTGGTGATGCATCCCTTCTGGGGATGGTGAGGAAGGCCGCCTGTCTCCTGGTGGGGTTCCCACTTCCCTAATAACAAGCCTCAGGAGGAGTACAGGGCTGAACAGTCCTACGGTCCTGGTCAGCAGAAACAGAGTAGAGCTGTCCATGGAACCTGTCTCCAGGCTTAGGCAAAAGTCCTGACTTGGCCCAGCCAGCACGGCTCAGTGGTTGAGCACAATTCCATTCCTGGTCAGGGCACATGCCCGGTTGCAGGCCGAATCCCCAGTGTGGGGCATGCAGGAGGCAGCTAATAATTCTCTCTCATCATTGATGTTTCTATCTCTCTCTCCTCCTTTCCTCTCTGAAATCAATAAAAATATATTGGGGGAAAAAAAAAGTCCTGGGTAGGATGCTGGGGCTTTATCAGATCTTAGAGGGTCTAGACCAGGAAATTTCTCAGATATGCAGGGGGCACTTTCAACAGGCACTTCCCCCAATATCTCTCCCCTCCCCCCGCCACCCCACAAGAGAATGCTCGCAATACAAGTCTCCTTGCTCTCTCCTCTTTCGGTTCCATATCAGGGCCCTTTCTTCCTACTGTACAGTGTCTAGACCCCTCAGATTCACTGAATCCCACTGTAGACACTTCCCTGTGACAAAGGAGCAGGGTTACACACCGAGAACTGAGACTTGCTCCCAGTGAGCAGGAGCCAGCTGAAGCAGCAGAGCAAGTCTGGAAGTAGGGCAGGCAGGCTGATGCTGGGAAAGAGAGGGCTTCCGGGGACAGGAAGTGGTGGCTCCAGGGAAAAACAACTTGCTTTGGCTGGTGATGGGACCCTGAGGAACGCTGTAACAAAGCTGAGATTATGACTGCTCTGTGCGTGAGTCCTGATGCTCCTCTAAGCCAGGCCATCTTTAGAACCTGAAAGTCCTTCATGTTATGCCCAGATTTCAAGATCCCCAGTAGACCACCAGGGAGCCAGCCGTGTCCGATGCAAAAGCATAAGAGTCTTTATTTCAAACCCGGGTTTGGCTCCCCCACCCTCCTTACCAACTCAGCGGCAAGTGGTAAAGAGAGAGGCAGCCCTGTGGTGAGATAGGTTTTATAGTAATGGGAGGAGAGAGGACTGTGGGCCCTGCTGATTGGCCAGGCGATAGAGGGCGTAGTCCTCGCCCTTTCATTCCCCACTTTGTCTTGGAACTTCCGGCTCAATCATGAGTCGGACTGCATTTCTATTTCACCATTGCTAGAGGCCCGTACTGGGCACACAGAACTATCAACTGAACTATCCCTATACGTTTAACAAATGGTCCGGTGGAAGGGAAAGAAACCATTTTAGCTTTAACAACTTCTATTGAAATAGGATTTTTCTTCTTAAAATTCCTCCATGGCTATCAAAAAGCCAAATCAAGATTAATTTATCTACTGTCCTGATGTTTGCATAAACACAACAAGAATGGTAACTGACTACCTTTGCTGGAATCTCATGGTTGAATCTTAATGTGCCCAGTAGGGCCAGGAAGCCAAGCCATCCAGCTGCCATCAGGCCCGCCTGCAGTATCTGCTGAGTTAGGTGAATCCCTCACCTGTAGCAACTCCACCTGAGCCCACGCTCCAGGCTTTAAGGCCCATCTCAGTAGCCCTCCTACCCGTTGCGGCCCAGAGTGTGTGGGGGTTCCGCAGGGACGCAGAGGCATCTTTACTGCTCCCCTTCTACTCTTACCAACCGCCAGTGGTGGTAGGGCATGGGCCTGACGCTCCAGCGCCAGCCATCTTCAGGGTTTCCAAGCAGGATATCAGGCTTTCTTTGTGGCATTCTTACTGGCTTCAAGTCTTTAGAGCTCAGACAGGGCTCTTTAAAACATGATACTCCAGTCAAAGTTTTCCGTTAATAAAACCACTATTAGGAACCAGTCTTATTGAATCTATGCAAAGAAATGTGTTGCTATGACTTATTAAGCATTGCCAGATTTCAGAGGAATTACATAAGGAGAAAAACATACTGATCTACTAAGGGAGCCAGCCGTGTCCGATGCAAAAGCATAAGAGTCTTTATTTCAAACCCGGGTTTGGCTCCCCCACCCTCCTTACCGACTCAGCGGCAAGTGGTAAAGAGAGAGGCAGCCCTGTGGTGAGATAGGTTTTATAGTAATGGGAGGAGAGAGGACTGTGGGCCCTGCCGATTGGCCAGGCGATGGAGGGCGTAGTCCTCACCCTTTCACTTTATTTCTTTTAAAAAATATATTTTCATTGATTTCAGAGAGGAAGGGAGAGAGAGAGATAGAGATAGAAACATCAGTGATGAGAGAGAATCAGTGATTGGCTGCCTCTTCTATGCTCCACACTGGGGATCGAGTCTGCAACCTGGGCATGTGCCCTGACCAGGAATCGAACTGTGACCCCCTGGTTCATAGATCGATGCTCAACCACTGAGCCACGCCGGCCAGGCATAGCACCCAAAGTCCTTTAAATGGGCTCTGTGGCCAGCACTAGACTGCAGGAGCCCGCTCTACTCTTTCAGCTCTGGGAACCTCCATCCAGGGACAGGAAGTCTGGCTCTGGGAGTGGCCACTCTGTAGCCATAGTCCCAGTGACAGGCAACAGCAAGGCTGGGGCAGGCATGGGTTGAGATTCCTGCTGAGAGGCCACAGTGATGACGGCTGAACAAAGCAGCTGTCATACCTCTGCCCTCCCTGCTCTTTCTCCTCCAGGCCTGACCAGCCCAGGGCTGGGGGCCAGCTGGCTCTTTATAACTCAGGTTGTCCCACTGTGCAATGCTTAATTAGGAACATGCTCTCCTCTATTCCCTCACAGGCCTGCAGCTTTTATAATGTATAGGAAAGCTAGACCATAAAATCGAGCAACAGAATTTTGTCTTTTAACTCACTCCATTGTGGCGTACCTTTCACATGCAGCCTGTGGGTCAGCTTACCTGGTTGTCGATCTTGATTTCTGTCAAGGTGTCATTTTCTCTTAGTGCCTCCACCAGGGCCAGGATCCCAGCTCCAGTTACAAAATTGGATTCTATGTTTAGACTTTTCAAGGTCTTGTTCACTTTCAGCATATCTGCAAAAGCCTTATTATTCAAAAAGGAAATAAGCATTAGGGTTTCTAAAGATTTATTTCCTGAACTCCCCACCCCCAAATTAAATGAGTCTTTTTTACAGTACTTAAAAACTTAGTTAAATCATACTTTCACCTCAAAAAAATTTAAAACTCAAAAAAAATGTTTAGTCCAGCAGCCCAAACTTATGAATTTCATATATCTGCAAAACTAAAAAAAAAAAAAGATACTAAGATACTGACATAGGATTACCAACTTTGCTTTGTTGAGTAAGGACATAAAAAAACCCCCAAAACCCCACTGCCATCTGTTATCACTATCAATGTCATTTTTGAGAAAAGACAATTTAACATTAGGAAATATGTACAAAGGATCTAGCTTCAGAATTACTTTATTTTGCCCCTTCGTATATGAATGGATTAAAAGAAAACCTTGACCACTGACTAGCATTTAGACACTACTGATTTAGTCATATCATTTCAGGTCATCCAGAAATCAGAACTCCTCAAAGATAACTCTTGGAACAAAGTCATCACTCAGAGTGGCAAACCCACCAGAGATGCCCAGTTCAAGCCTGCAGCCTGCACACATGTACCTGCTTGCTCCCCTTCCTCCCCAAGTTTTCCCTTCATGAGGAAAAGATATAACTTTTAAGTGACTGGAACCTTCACAATACATGAAAGCAAAAAAAAAAAACAAACCCCCAAAAAACCAAAAAATAAAAGAGGGCCATTATCTTGAAGAATTGCTAAAATACAGAAAACAGAAAGACTGATGGAGAAATTAGCACAAAACTGCCTAAGATGCCAGAGGTAAGTCCCGACTGGGGCATTTCATTAAAGAACTGCTTTAGGCCCTGGCCCGTGTGGCTCATTGGGTTGGAGCATTGTCCTGTACATTTAAAGTTCCAGGGTTCGATTCCCAGTCAGGGCACATACGTAGGTTTCGGTTTGTTTCCTGTTTGGGCACATGTGAGAGGCAACTGATGTCTCTCTTTCTCTCTCTCTCTCTCTCTCTCTCTCTCTCTCTCTCTCCCCACTTCCTCTCTCTTTCTAAAAAAAAAGAAGTGTCTTAGGAACAAATGGGACAAGTAGAGTATGTGGAGAACACACCACCCCTCCCTGTGGTTTCCCAGAAAAGAGTACCTGCCAGCACCACTATCAGTGAACTATCAGTGAAAAATCTCCTAGGAAGAGCCTCTAATGAGGGTGCTAGGACCTGAGAGAGAAGCAGTGCAGACTGAGGCACCTCCAGACCATCACCAGATACGATATGGATGAAAGGAAGGGAGAGGCAACTATTGCCCAGGAATGAAACATACAGAAATCTACTCTTGCAGATGAAGCCCTCCTAACGGCAGCACTCGTGGGGGACCCCTGGCTGCCTGCTGGCTCCTCATACACTCACTACAAAGAAGGTTGCCAGTCAATTCACCTGCCTGCTTGGAAAAACACTCATTCATTCATTCATTCATTCATTCATTCATTCAAAAAAAGACTATTATGTTCCAGCAGTAGAGAAAACAAAAATTTCTACCCTAGTGAGATTATATTTGAGGAGGGCAGAATCAAAATTAATTAACAAAATATGCAGCCTGTCATGTGGTGAATCAGAGGACATGATCCTGGCTTACCCAAATCAAACTTGCTCTCTATTCAGAAATATGAACAGGCAACCAGTGATTGCCAGACATGTGAGAAAAACCAACATAAAAGAGAGAAGTGTTATTCGATATTAATGTTAAGAAATGTTAAGAGAAGATCAACATTCATCCAATAGGAGTTTCAAAAGGACAATAACAAAAAAGAGAAGAGAAAGCAAAAAAATACAAAATAACAGGAAAAAATTTCCCAGAGTTGAAGAAAGCTACACGTCTTTTTTTGTTGTTGTTAATCCTCACTGAGGATATTTTTCCATTGATTTTTTAGGGAGAGTGTAAGAGAGAGGGAAAGACAGAGAGAAACATTGATGTGAGAAAAACACATTGACTGGTTGATTCCTGCACGAACCTCCACTAGGGCCCAGGCCGGGGAGGATCCTGCAATCAAGGTACGTGCCCTTGACTGGAATCGAACCCGGGACCCAAACCAGCTAGGGCAGCTACAAGTCTTTATCTGAAAGGACCCACTGAGGCTCAGAGGAATGAATAAAAAAGACTCATAAGTGGGCATATAAAGTGAAATTTCAGAACTCCAAGGAGAGAGAGTCCTCAAAGTTTCTAGCAAGAAAAAATAAGTTACATGGAAAAAAGAGTCACTCAATTTCAAGGCACTTGGGAATTGTAAGTGCTAAGAATAAGTTTCAAATTTGGGAGTCAACCCATATAATAACATAAAATATGACATAAAGCCGGCTGGTATAGTTCAGTGGTTAAGCATCAATCTATGAACCAGAAGGTCACGGTTCAACTCCCGGTCTGGGCACATGCCCAGGTTGCAGGCTCGATCCCCAGTGGCGGTGTGCAGGAGGCAGCCGATCAATGATTCTCTCTCATCATTGATGTTTGTATCTCTCTCTCCCTTCCTCTCTGAAATCAATAAAAATATATTTATTTTAAAAATAGGATATAAAATGTATAAAGCTCAAATGTGTGAAGATAATAAAATAACTACAATTTGGTGATAGAAGAGCAAGGAGGGATGGAAGGTAGAGTGAGTTCAGAATTGCCTCATCTTGTCTAATGGAGGATAAAAAATTATCTAAGATGGCAAATTAAAAATAAAAATGTATGTATACTAGTGTTTTTCTACTGTGATTGCATATTAGAATGACCTGAAAGCCTTAAAAATATACCAATGCTTGGGCCCCAACCCAAAATAATGAAATCAGAACCTGGTGGCCTTGATAGCTACAGTTTTAAATTGCTGACAGTACTACAGATGTCCCCATCTCAGCCCCCACCGCTCTGCCCCCCTCCACCCAACCCCCATCCCACCATAGGCCTTCATCACACTATTGTCTGTGTCCATAGCTGCATTTTTGAAAAGCTCCCCAGGTGACTAACATTCAGCCAGGATTGACAGACACTTTAATTAAAGTTATAAAGACAACAACTAGAAGAATGAAAAACAAACCAATAGTGATTATTCTGGGGAATAGAACAAGGAACGTCTAAACCAGTGGTTCTCAACCTTCTGGCCCTTTAAATACAGTTCCTCATGTTGTGACCCAACCATAAAATTATTTTCGTTGCTACTTCATCACTGTAATGTTGCTACTGTCATGAATCATAATGTAAATATGCAGGATGGTCTTAGGCGACCCCTGTGAAAGGGTGGTTCAACCGCCAAAGGGGTCGCGACCCACAGGTTGAGAACCGCTGGTCTAAACTATTTAAATTGTTTTTATGGAGAAAGAAACAGGAAGAAAGGAGAAGGTATCCAACTTGGGTTTCTCAGGCTCTGCACTGTGGACATTTGAGGCAGGGAATTCTTTGTTGTGGGGGGTTGTCTTGTGTGCTGTAGAAGGGTTAGCAGTCTCTGAGACCCACTGAATGCCAACAGTACCCCTCCCAGTAATGACAACCAAAATTATCTCCAGACTGCCCTGAGTTGAGAACCACCGGACTAGAAGAATAATCCTGTGTATTAGTCAGGCAATTGCTTGAACTAAAAAGCAAGTACAAAGATTTGGACTGACGTGATTGTATACCGTGTAAATCAAAGTGCCAGGTCTTTAATTAGAATTAAATGTACACATTTTAATTAGAGCACCAGAGGAAATGCATCAGGCCTTTCCTTACGGACGCTTCAAGCTTTGAGATTTACTTTCGTTATTAGAATAACAAAATGTCAGAGCAATTATGCCTTTATAAAAAAGCTGCAGGACCTCCTGGCAAGCAGCCAGATCCTGCCAATTTCTTTTAAACTTGAGAAAGCACTTTTCTCATACTGAACAAAACAGGGGAGACCCAGCCAAACATAACCCTGGGCAGTAGGCCCAAGTTCATTTAAGTTCAGCAAATATTTGAGCATCTATTACATGTGCTGGGGATGATAACATTAGTAAAACAAAGACTAGATTTCTTAAATATTATAGAAATAATTAGGGTAAAAATACATCTTTAAAGAGAAGGCTTTGCTTTCTGTACTTTACAGTGCTGTATGAAATGCAGTTTTCTGCAATGTCTAAATCTGTGTCATCCAAATGGTAGCCACCAGACCCGCAGCTGCGGAGGCCTTGAAAAACGGCTGGTCTGAATGGAGACGTGCTGTAAATGTAAAACGCACAAAGATGTATATGAAGACAATAAGGTAAAATACCTCATTATATTTTCAACCTGTATTTTGAAATTTTGAATATATTGGTTTAAATAAAATATATTGTTGTTGTTAATCTTCACCTGAGGATATTTCTTCCATTGCTTTTCAGAGAGTAGAAGCGAGGGAGGCAGTGAGGGGAGGGGAAAGAAAGAGCGAGAGAGAAAGAGAGCGAAGAGAAACATCAATGTGAGAGAGACACAAGCATTGGTTGCCTCCTGCACATGCCCCAACTGGGACCAGGAATCGAACCTGGGACCCTTCGGTGTGAAGGCCAACACTCTAACCATTGAGCAACACCAGCCAGGGCTCTTTTTGTTTTTTAATGTGGCTACTGGAAAATTGAAAATTATGCATATGGCTTACATTTGTGACTGTCATTTTCTTTTGATTGTACAGTGCTGTAATAAACTCTTGATTTTCCTGGGGCATCATTGTTAATAATAATAGCATTTTTTACACATTTGGGTCTTTTGTCTACACTGGCATTCAAGTGATGGCAAGTTCCGTCAATACTCACTTCTATAGTTGTGTATGGAAGTACTTGGCACATGGTGAACTAAACTTAACTACAGGTCACTAAGTTCACTTCCTGGCTTGACCACATGCTTAATCTTAGTTAAGTTACTCAGCCTCTCTGAGCCTCAGTTGCCTCCTCTGTAAAATGGGGATAATGCAATCTCACATACACATTGTCTACATTTGCAATGATCTCACAAGTGCCTTGTTGAATCAAGTTTTGAACCTTACATAGAAAAGTGTCTTGAAGCTCTTTGCTTTAATGCTGATTTTTACTTCTCAACAGTGAAGCGTTCAGTCATAAACAGTCTGAAGATCTCTGTTGCCTATGGGGTAATGAACCAATTTTCAAACTATACAAAGGCTCTTTTCCTAACAATGGCATAACTGAAAGGGGAATCATCTAGGGGTAGTGGTCGGGCAAACTGTGGCTCGAGAACCCACATGGCGGCTCTTTTGGCCCCCTTGAAGTT